AACGTGTTCCGGGTGAGGAAAAGGAAACCAAGGAGACCAAGATGTCTCGAGGTTCTTGGGGATTCAGTGGATTCTACTCTGTGAGTATAAATCATTATGGCGGGGGCTCGGATAGTCGGCCAGCCCAGTTCGCACATCGGATTAATCGAGGTGCTCCAGTAAGTTCTTTTAATGCACCACTGACATAAGTGTCCTACAATGGTTATTCTAGTTATCTGGCACAGACTCAGTATGAGCAACCAAACCCGCAGATGGGTTGTTATGAATACGGCGATACTAGGCACATCATGAGAAAATTGTCCCAAACTTGGGAGAGGCATATTTTATCAAAGCACTCAGGCTACGTGCCCCATTGCAGTTACTGCACCACCCACACGATCAGTTAAGGGTGGAGGACAAGCGGGTAGAAGGCGTCCTAGAGGTGGAGACCCGGCTGTTGTTATGTTTTTTTTATGGTATGATGGGGGTCGTTACATCAGATGGTGTCGTTATAGGTACAACCTCGATTTAAAATAAAGGAATAATTTTCTTAACTTGATTCGGTTCTAAGAATCAAGACGAGTCCTCCTATTGTGCTCCACTAACGAGTAAACTTCGTAATTCTATAATCTACTTATGTGTTTACTTCTGTTGGGAGGTTTTATGGAGATAACTACACCTATCATTCCATGATGGACTCTAATAATATCTGTGAAGCTAAAGGTGCCTTCTGGTACTTATTTCGGTATGTTTTGATGTATTTCCGGATAATTTATTTACAAATTGTGAATTATATGCCCTACCGGTGTGGGGTTTATTATGTGTTGTGATTTTGTTTAACGAAAGTTATTTAAAAGGAGAAAATGGAAAGTTTCAACTGGCAAGATGTACATATTGCTTGTGATTCAGAACAGAGGCCGAGGTCCTTATATTTTTAAATAAATTGATATGTTTAAACCGGTCTATGAGCTGTGGTGAAAGTTATATAAGGACGAGATCCTTGTAAAAAAACAATTCTTGTGTTTAAATTCTCCCTTGTGAAATTTAATTTGTACGATAGTACTAATAGGGAGTCATGCCTGCTAGGCTTATTTAAAAAATATTTGCATGAAATTCTCTGTGCATACTTGCCAAATTCGTGTTGTAATATTGAGTTATAACCTACGAGATAGGTGCCCGCCCAGGTGGCGTTAAATGCGACTCGTTAATTCGGGTAAATAATTATGAGGTCTTCATGTCTCGCATCTCGTTATTAGTATTGTGAAGGTTTGAAACGAGATTTTTGTTAACATGAAGTTAATTGATGATTCTGTAATTGATTATGAAAAACTATTAAGACCAGATTAACCCAGAAGGGTTCCCCATTTAGATGGTCAGACAAGTGTGAGTTAAGCTTTCAGAAGCTCAAGACCGCTTTGACTACAATGCTAGTGTTGGTATTACACACAGGTTAAGGATCGTATACGGTATATTATGACGCCTCTTACATTTGGCTTGGTACAGTATTAATGCAAGATGGCAAGGTAACTGCATATGCGTCGCGGCAATTGAAAGTTCACGAGAAGAATTATCATGTTCATGACTTAGAACTGGCAGCCATTGTTCATGCGCTGAAGATTTAGAGGCATTACCTCTATGGTGTCTCGTGTGAGGTATTTACTGATCATCTTTGCCTTCAGTACCTGTTCAAAAAAAATGATCTTAATTTGAGGCAGAGAAGATGGTTAGAGTTGTTGAAAGACTATGATATCACCATTTTGTATCAACCCGGAAAGGCCAATGTGGTGGCCGATGCTTTGAGTAGAAAGGCTGTGAGTATGGGCAGTCTTGCGTATATTCCGGTTGGTGAGAGGCCATTAGCTGCAGATGTTCAGACTTTGGCTAACAAATTCATGAGGTTAGATGTTTCAGAACCCATTCGAGATCTATACTACAAGAATATTGACTTTTAGCGACCAAATTCTAACGAAGGGAATTGAATCCGGTCATTATAAGTGTATTTATGACGATCAATATTTTTTCCGGTCGTCAAAATCAATTTCTAGTGCAATATTAACGAAAGGATAATTTTTGGTCTTTAAAAATTATAAAATCCGGACGTTAAATATGAAATATTGGGCGCTAATTTTTTCCCTCTTTTTTTGCAACGCACATTCAACCCACGCACCCCCTCAACTCTCTTCTCCCACCCCCACCCCCACCCCCCAAAAAAGGGTATATCTTTATATTGTTACTTAAAGAGCAGAGACCTAGTATCTCAGAAATTGAACTCTTTAAAGAATCATAATTTTGGTTCTTCTCTGCAACCTAGGGTTTCAATCTCCTTCTCGTCAAGGTAAGCTCTAAACTTGCAGTCAATTATTTTGTCCAAATTTGCCTATAAGTTGTTAAAGGAATGACTGAAAATTATCTTATTTTTTCATACGGAGTATAACATGCTGTCCAACTTTGGATTGAAGTTGTTGAAAGAATCTCTTAAAATTATGTTTGCATTTATACCAAGTATAGTGTGCTGCCAAATTTGCATTTTAGTTGTTGAAGGAATGTCTAAATCAGCCTGTTAGAGCCTTATTCATGAGAGGATTTACTGGAAATCATTGGAAATTTCTTTAATCCTTGTTCCATAAATTCATTAGAGCTGATTCTAAAGCATCTCTACGGAGTTATTGAAGGGTTCTTTATAAGAATTAATTATTTTTATGGTTTGAAATTGGGCATTTTTTTATGTTATCGTCTCTCTCTATCTCTATGTTTTTCAAATACTGGGTTGCATCTTATAATTACATATGCTCCAAACTAATAATTACATGTAGGTTTTATGACATTGCTGATGAATTCGCAGAAGTTGGTTTTTTATTTTCATTGAATATTGCCTCGTTATAGGTCAATTATGTGTATTCGTCTTGTAGAGCAGATAATTTTGTGGAATTGGGTTTGATTGCATATTATTATTGGAACAAAAGGTTTCTCACTATCTAGTCGTGATTGTATTGTAAAATTTTCGTGTGAAATAAGAATTCGCTAACTTTATCCTTAATTAAACTTTCTGAGTACATTAGGAAGAAATACGCGATTCTCTTTTTCTACCCACTAGACTTCACATGTGTTTGCCTGACATGTTAGCTTGTATCCTAAAATCACTCAACTGCTACTTTCACTTACTTATAATGAAGTTGAACTGATTATGGTTGTTTCTTAATGTATGTTTTCGCTATTATCAATTCATGCTACTGTAGAGATCACTGCTTTCACTGATCCTTATGAAGAATTTTAGAAGGTGAACATGCCTGCAATAAGATCATTTATATTAGCTCCACCTTACCAAAGCAATCAAATCATGGCCAAATCCCTTGTTTCCTCGCCTCTTGATGGACTTACTTCATCTGAAGACATTCCCACATTGTATGAATTAATTGAAGTAGTTCGTTTTCTGGATTTTCTTGTTTTTAGCTATCTCCTTTTTGACTTTCTAGTTCTTCTTTATTATATTGTAAAAGAATCGAACAAGTACGTAGAGCTTACCATGATCACCTTTGTTTTCTATATTATAAAGCAAATGGTGATTTCACTTAGATGCTCTTTAGTTTTGGCTGTTAGGCACTAGTTCTGCCATTTTCCATTCTCATTATCTAGTTATTTATGATCGATCAATTTGAAAGCTTGAAAATATTTAGTTTTGTCTTTGCTGTAAAGAAACATTCTTTTTGCTTTATTTAGTATAATGCTTTGGGTTGTGCTAGTGTACTTGGATATTTGAGATACTGCTGTGGTGCATTTAAAAAAGATTGGTCTGCATTTTTTGCTATTTCTGCACTTATTGTCAATACTAAAAGTTTTTGAATTAGAAGAAATAAGGAATAACACACAGTACCCTAATAATACTTGCTAGTTGGCATCCTTTTTCTTATTGGCAGCTTGCTGAAATATTTTTCTTTTTCGGGTAGCTTAATAATACTTTTCTTTCTTTTGTTGTATTAGGTTGACATGAATCTATCAAAATCTCGGAAGTTTGAAATACAATCAACTTCAAAGACTGTTAAGCATTCATACGTTGCGCCAAGTGCCTTAGCAAGGGGACGAGGGCAAAGCTTTAGATCTTTGGGTTCGGTAAGGGTAAATGCTGAACAGAGACTCCCGATTGGAAATAGTAAAAATCTTAATGCAGCAGCTTCTTATCTGAATGAGCTAGCTCAGAATACGAATCTTGCACCTCCTGGTTTTGATCCACTAGAAGATGATGTTTCCCTCCCTCAAGAAGTTGAAGTGATGCAAGACACTCAAAGAAGCAAAATAAGTATTTTTCTGTCTCAGTTTGTAATATTTGTTTGCTGTTATTGGATTGGCCCTTTTTTATGATTAACTCAAATTGGAAATTAGCAGGTTCGTGTGAATCTGAAAAGGTAAAAATGTTCTAGGACTCAAAGTTGGAGAAAAGTTGAGCGTCACTTTCTACCACAATCGAGCTGTTGGGAAGCATTCAACCACATTTGTGAGACACTTAGGTATATTAGTTCGTGATCATAATATGTGTCCATTGCGCGTACACTCGTGGGCGGATATCGAAGAATATAAGCTGGACCACATTTGGGAAGTTGTTACTGTAAGAATTTAAAGTATTACTTTAATTTGTTCTTTTGCCTTTTTCTTTTCTTCTTTCACAAATGAAAAGAAAATTAATTTTGAACCTTATAATCTTACATAATAATCATGTTAAATCATTGAGTTTTAGTTTAAGCGTAATAAAAAGAAAATATATTTTAGAGGCGCTAATTTTGCAGCATACAGATACTTCCAGAATAAAGGTTTGATGTTCGCCTCTTCATGCTTGCTGCTAGAAAAGAATTTGACTTTTTAGTTTTAATTTTTTTGATTGCTGTTAATTTTAATAATAGTAATAAAAGTTTGATCGGTACATCTACAATATGAGATCGCCAGTAATGGAGGCAGGGCCTCCTTAAGGTTTATTGCCGCTTTGCGACATAACATTTCAGTTTATATGCCATTTGAAGATTTCTGCTTTGGTTGAAGTTAGGTCACTAAGATTTTGTGTTAAAAGAAATAAGGAAGAATGAAATCAAGATAGGCAAAGGAAGCTCTTTTGCAGCGTAAAAAACTAAAGTAAATGTTTGGGAGGTTTTATCTCCATTCAGGCATAAGGTGTATTTTGTTTCTTCTTTAATCTTTGGATACAGTAATTTGAAGTTGTTGGCGTCGTTTCTGGCATGTATGGCTACAACCAGAATACTAGTATTATAGTTTAATTCTTTCATATAACATTCAAAAGAAAATAATTATTATTTAAAAGTCGAAGGATTTCATCTTAAAGTGTTTTGGTTCTAACAATTAATTTGTCACTAGTAACGCTCAATGTTTTATTTAATATTATTGGTTAAATTTTTCTTTTTTGTTTGGTTAAAACTCATTGAGTTTTATGTTTGATGATATTCTTAAAATATTATAGGACAAATTTGATAGTGCTGACATAAATGGTCAAAGAGATCATGTCTTGAAACATATGAGAAGGTTATGGAATAATTGGAGAGGATCATTGCACATTATTGTGAAATCTAAGCCATTGCGCGACGTTTTAAAGGATGTGCCAGAGGGGGTCGACAAGAGTGATTGGGAATGGTTGGTCAAGGAGCACTTCTTATCTGAAAAGTTTAAGGTATGACTTCATAACAATTTATAGCATCTTAATTTTTTTAAGCGGCAGACCACACCTTCTATGTTCTGTTGTTATTATAGGAAAGAAGTACAAGAAACTCAATGAATAGGTCTAAGTTGATTATGCCTCATCGTACGGGCAACAAGCCTATCAGAGAGATTATTTATGAACTGCTATGTAAATCGTGCTATTGTGTTAAGAAACCCCATCTTTGTTTAAATGATTTGTTTGACTTGTTTATTTAAATGCGAAGGGAGGCAAAGATGGTAATCCACCAGATATGGCAACTATTTTCTTTGAGACTCGTAAGAAGAACGATAAACTTGTCGAACCTGAAACCAATGAAAAATATGTATGTTTATTGATAAATTTTATTTTACCCCTTCCTTTGACTAAAAGCATTGCATTATTTCAAAGCTTATAATTTTTTAGGCTGAAATTCAAGAACTGGTACGATCTGAGCCGTCTCTTATAAACATTGAGGTTGTAGAAAGGTGCTTTGGACCTCAATGCAAGATCCATGTGTTTGGATTTGGAGGTGGAATAACCGCTAAGGAGTTGAAAGATGGTAACTCCTCTAAGGTTGAACTATTGGATGAGTTAAATGCAACTCGTAAAGAAAACCTATCACTTAAAAAAACGCCTAGATAACTTAGAGAGTACAGTTGCACGACTTGCAAGCAAATTTTCTGGTCAGCCTTTATCAACACCATGTTCAAGTGAATCAGATACAGGCATCTGACAGACAGGTTAGTAAACTTTTTACCAACCTTTTACAATTATCACATGTCATATTCATTTATTTAGCTAGTCACCCTGCCACTTTCTACTGCCATATCTTTCTTTATACAAATTATAATTCCACTTATGATATGATGAGTATTTCTTAATCAAATGAATAAACAAAACTTTCTTCTATTTTTCATGTCAACAACTCATGTGCCTCGCTCGTTTTTGTTGAAGGATGAAATAAATAAATAACTGCTCTTCATGAACTGAGTGATCACCATCCTACTTCACTATGAAAGCCTTCTATATTTCTTAATCCATTTTTCTTGATCACTTATAGAACTTATTTGTCCTTTGCTGAACTTTTTCCTTTTCTTTTGGGTTAAATCAACAAGATTATATGTTATTTTATCTAATTTTGATACTTTTCTACACTCAACAATGTGCTAAAAAAATTCTGTAAATATTTTTGCATAGACAATGAGCTTATTTCAAGTATCCAGAGAATTCTAATTCACTGGAATATTAATGGATAGCAGTCAACTAGTCAGATACCTCTGCTTCTGAATTTTTGCAAAAATCTCTATTTTGTTCTTTAGAAGTGTAACTTTCTTGTATGCTTTAGCATATTGTTTTGTTAGTACTATATAAAAAATTAGTAGCAACTACTTCTAGGTACAAAAATAAATGGCAGTGTCTCTACCATATGTAGTTGCGCCATTTTTCATTTTCCTTTTCTACTCTTTATTGATATTGACAAGTGTTAGATAGTCTCATTCAAGATACAAATAGACAGAACAGTAGTAGGAAAAAGATGACAGAAATTTTATAAATTAGTTTGTTTGGTATTTTTTTCTCAATGTAATTATGTGTACTGATATGTTTTGTTTGCTTTTTAAGATTCTTTTTTTAGGAATTTGTCTTTTCATTGTTGTTGTCTGCCCCCTCCCCCTCTTTGGTATTAGGGAAAAAAGAAAAAAGTGTCAACAAAGGCACACCATTACTGGAGATGGTGCTTGACTGTAGTTTAAATTTTTGGGACTTTCCCAGTCACGGTTATTTGAATTTCAGGAAATCTCTTATCATTTATATTTATAATGGCCAAGCTTGATTTATTTACTTCAATTGTTTAATCAACATACTGATTAAATTTGTTCATTTATTTTTCAAATAACATTGCTAGAGAAGTTTTTACTAAACTGACATGAACTTGTTCTTTTAGCAGATAAAAAATTTGAAGTATGAAGACGTCATTGAAGAAAGTGCAAAGCAAGTTGATGCATAATAGATTGTATAGCTTTCTTAGCGGTTGTCTAGGGATGTTATCATTTGTACATATGTTACTATTTCATCTTCTCTCTTTTAGGAGTTGATAGTGACAAAGTCATTCAGTTTAGATAGGTATTGTGTTGTTTTTTTAGTTCTTTCTAATTAACATATTCATTTTATTTGAATACATATTGATTACTTATTATTTTTTCTGATGCGTGTGTGAAAGTATATGGAATAATGAATATTATTGTGCAAACACCGGGAAAATTATGATATTATCTATTTGCATTTATAAAACTTGCATAGTAGCAACGACTGAATTATTAAATAGGTATTAGCAAAAACAAATTTGGTCATTAAAAATACTATTGTTAAAAGTAACATAAAATTAACGAAGGGGAATTTTAGTCGGTAAAAGTAATTATAGTAATCAAATTTATGGTTGCTTTTAAAGAGCTTTAATGAATGGATGACAAATCAACGAGGGGAAAATTCGGTCACAAAAAGTAGGTATAACGACCATAACTTATGTCGTCGCTATGGTCGTTAACTTTTAACGACGACGCTTTTCGTGACCGCTGACGACTAGTTTTTGCCCAGTCGTTAATGACCTATATCGACCATATTTGGGCTTTTAACGACTAGATTTTCCCTCGCTAAAGATCACTTTTCTTGTAGTGCTAGCTTGCACAGTGACTCGGTCTTCTTTATATGAGCGCATCAGAGAGAGGCAGTATGATGATCCTCGTTTACTTGTCCTTAAGGACACGGTGCGACACGGTGATGCCAAACAGGTTGCTGTGGGGGAAGATGGAGTTCTGCGAATGCAGGATCGTATTTATGTACCTAATGTGGATGGGCTTCGTGAATTAATTCTTGAAGAGGCACACAGTTCCAGGTATTCTATTTATCCAGGTATCGCCAAAATGTATCAAGATTTGCGGCAACATTATTGGTGGAGGAGAATAAAAAAGGATATAGTTGCATATGTAGTTCAGTATCTGAATTGTCAGTAAGTTAAGTACGAGCATCAGAGACCTGGTAGATTGCTTCAGAAGTTAGAAATTCCTGAATGGAAATGGGAGCATATCACTATGGATTTTGTTGTTGGACTCCCACGGACTCAGAAAAAATTTGATGCAGTTTGGGGTCATTGTGGACAGGTTGACCAAGTCAGCACATTTTATTCCAGTAGCAGCTACCTATTCTTCAGAAAGGTTAGCTAAAAGTTTCATTCGTGAGATTATCCGCCTTTACGGGGTACCCGTGTCTATTATTTCAGATCGAGGTACACAGTTTACCTCGCACTTTTGAAGGGCAGTACAACGTGAGTTGAGTACGCGGGTTGAGTTGAGCACAACATTCCATCCTCAGCCGGACGGGCAGTTTGAGCGTACTATTCAGATCTTGGAGTATATGCTCTGCGCCTGTGTTATTGACTTTGGAGGTTCTTGGGATCAGTTCTTGCCATTAGCGGAGTTTGCCTACAATAACAGCTACCAGTCGAGCATTCAGATGGCTCCATATGAGGCCTTATATGGAAGGCGATGCCGTTCGCCAGTTGGCTGGTTCGAACCGGGAGAGGCTCGGTTATTGGGTACCGATTTGGTACAAGATGCCTTGGATAAGGTCAAGATTATTCAGGATCGACTTCACACAACTCAGTCTAGGCAAAAGAGTTATGACGACTGTAAATTTCGTGATATTGCATTCATGGTTGGAGAAAGAATATTGCTTCGGGTATCGCCCATGAAGGGTGTTATGAGATTTGGGAAGAAGGGCAAGTTGAGCCCTAGGTATATCGGGCCATTTGAGATCCTCGAGAGAGTGGAGGAGGTAGCTTATAGACTTGCGTTGCCTCCAGGGTTATCCTCAGTTCATCCGGTATTCCATGTGTCTACGCTCCAGAAATATCATGGTGACCCGTCCCACATGTTAGATTTCAGCTCTGTCCAGTTGGACAAGGATTTGACTTACGAGGAGGAGCCGGTGACAATTCTAGATCTGCAAGTTCTCAAGTTAAGATCAAAGAGTTACCCTTCAGTTCGAGTGTAGTGGAGAGGTCAGCCTATTGAGGCAGCTACTTGGGAGTCTGAGTCCGATATGCGGAGTAGATATTCCCACCTTTTCACCAGCCCAGGTACTTTTCTATGTCCGTTCGAGGATGAACGGTTGTTTTAAAGGTGGAGAATGTGATGACCCAAAAGGTCATCTTATGTTTTAAAACTCGAATCTGCGCTTTTAAGCCTTAAAAATCTCATCTTTACCCTCCTCGATTTGCGTGCGCAACCCGAACAGTTTTTCGAAAATCTTTTATGTTGAAAACTAATGAAAATAAGAATTTTTGCCTTAAAAGTTGATTTTAGTTGACTTCGGCCAATATTTTTGGTAAACGGGCCCGGATCCGTGCGTTGACAATCCCGATAGGTCCATATCGAATTATGGGACCTGGGCGTATGCCCGGAATTGAATTCAGAGGTCCCTAGCTTGAGTTATGAATTTTTGATGAAAATTAAAAGTCTGAAAATTAATTATTTTTAAGAATTGATTGATGTTTGGAATTGTTAGTACCGGGTCCGTATTTTGGTTCCGGAGCCCGGTACAAGTTCATTATGATATTTAAGACCTGTCTGAGAAATTTGGTGAGAAATGGAGTTGATTTGACGTGATTCAGACGTCTAGTTGAGAAAATAGTAATTTTAAAGTGTTCTTGAGAATTTCATGCGATTTGGTGCTAAATTCGGAGTTCTAGGTGTTATTTTGGCAATTTGATCGCGCGAGCAGGTCCGTATAATGTTTTTAGACTTATGTGCATGTTTGGTTTGGAGCCCCGAGGACTCGGGTGAGTTTCGGATAGGCTACGGTGTGATTTGCACTTAGAAAATCTGAGATTTTTTCTGCAGCAGCTATTCTGGAGTGCCCTTCTTCGTATTCGCGTAGGTAGTGTCGTGAACGCGAAAAGTAAAATGGGGGTAGGGGAAATTTCTTCTTCATGAACGCGAAGGACTGGTTGCGAATGCGAAGCATTGCGGGTGGTACCCTTTGCGAACGCGATCTGTCTCACGCAAACGCGATAGTTTAAGGGACCTGGGGGAGGGGGATCATGT